GATGTCACCCAATCTACTAATTACTGGTTAATCACTTCCTTACTTGTGTAAGGGCCCCTGAATTTGAAGACGTGAGATAGTACCCATTACAGGTCTATCAGCGTCAGCCAAGTTTCTGTTGATCTCTGGCTTCATTTGCATCCACTTATTCTGCAATTTTTCAGTATTTAGGCATGATTAATATCGATCGACAGGTCGATCGACCAGTTTCTAACGCATATTAGTATATACGCCCACATATTCAGTTACACATGAAATTCTTATAAAAATCATCTAGTTTTATGCCTTAGCTGAGACTTGAACCTGTGGCTATTGCAGTGTAACCCACAATAGGAGCTCAGTTGTTGTCAACTGAACTAAGGACGCATATTAAATATTTTTTTTTTTATTTTTTAAAGTGCAATAGTTCCACATAATCTTTATTATGATAAAAGTAAAATATAAAAATAAAATACAAATCAAAAAGAAAAAATGAAAATCTCGTACAGAAAAGAAAAACTAAACTATAGAAGACTGACCTTACACTCCCCTGAATCAAATTTATCTTTAAGATTAATGTTTGCAGCTTTCTCAATGGTGGATTGACAGGCACACCTTTCAGTCTAAAAACGTTGTGATTCTTCATAAATGAAGTGCATTAGTGATGAACATGCAGCTAAAGCTGTGGGCATGTGTGTAAGGTTGTTATGAATGAATTCAAAGAGGGTAGTGGGAATAATGCCTTTAATGAGAACCACAAAAGAAAAGAATGTTGAAAGGTTCCACTAATTAAGATTGTTAATATCATGTATATGTGCATTAGTAATGTCTTTAAGGTAGTCTTTAACTCGTTGGATGAGCAGTTTCATTTGGTAGTTGACTATTGGACAAGTCCATATATGGAAGAAGTTTTCATCTGCAGCTTCACATCTAGAACACAGAGTTGACGTCGGGAAGAGAAACGGATGTCTGATTTTCAGAATTTCAACTGTAGGAAGCATTTCAGCAATTGTTGAAATTTTTTCATTCTAGTGGTAGAGGCTACATATGATGTATGATTGGTAGCTACATTGTCATTTAGACAAAAGGAGGTGACATACCAATTAATTTTGAAAAATAGGTAATATTTGTTAACTACATGCAAGGATAATATTTGTTGAAGGTGTTTATGCCAGAAGATCTCCTTTACAATATGTCTGATCGGGATAAGAATGGATTAGTTTTTATAGTTAGCGAAGCTCTATGAAGCGTCCGTCAAGTTAAGTTGCAAGACTAGGAGGGTAAAAGCATCCTTTGCCATAACGTCTACCTTGTTGTTCAAGAGATTGTTTAAGTGCATTTTGACTTTTATTAAATATACATCCAGGTTGTGCTTCGAGATTACTTCAAAAAGACAAGACCAAAGTACATGATTGTTGATTTTCAGAAGGGGTCTAAAAGTAGGAGACTGCTTTTTGAGGAAACTGAATTTGTTGAATTGTAATATGATAACAGCTGAGTCAGTATAGACTCTGACTTTGCAATTTGGAGGGGCAGTCAAAAGTGCGGTAAAAAGAGCTGCAGCTTCAGGTATTGATGATGATGGAAAACTGGAGGCTAGAGCGGTACTAAAGGAAGCCATAGGTGAATTATGGTGGGATTGTAACCAAATAAGCCCCATTTTGATTGAAGGAAGACCGACGTCTTTAAGAGACCCATCGGTATAAAATTCTAACTCAGTAGCAGAAATAAAAGTAGAGGAGAGTGTTAGTAGTTCATCTTTGAACGGAGAAGGGATAAATCTATCTAAACAAGAGTTATATGTAGAAGGAGAAACAGAAGGTAGTACATTTAAAATATAGGGCTGACAGGACGCGATTGCACAAGTTAAAGCCAATTCATTGAGAGCACCAATGGAAAGCGCTGTAGAACTAGAATTGTCATAATATATATTGTGAAAAGCTGCACAGTATGCATGAGGAATACTGACGTGGCAGTATGAACTATTTGTTAGAGGTACATCATTATTGTGCAGAAAACATTGGAGACATGGGATCAATTTAGTACTATTATCAGTTGTTCTTTCGAAATTGTAATGTCTGAGATATAAGGAATCTTGGTCAGCATGAGTGATGCGTCCAATGATAAAATTGTTGAGATTGAATATCCAACCCACTGCATGTGACCTATAACCAGGGGTGAGATGTTGTTGCTTTAGTATGTAACCATACATTAAATTGTGTGGGAAAAATCTGGTGATAAATCTATCTGGTGATGGTTGTAGGAACTGTTTCATGACGGTAAACCATTTAGGAGTTCTAACAAACCTCGTTTATTGGTGCATAATGTGGATAAGGTCTTTGTAAGAGAACATGTAATTACCAACACAATTGACTAGTTGTTCAGCATAGAGGACTGAGCATTTTCTGAGATCCAGGATGTGATTCCTATAGATAGACGTTATAAGATCTGAAATCGGGGTGATGCCACCGAATACCTGATTAGTAAGTTTTAACAGAACGCTAAGATTAATGTTCAGTTTATTGAGAGTGCTAAGCAGAGCTGGAAGCCAATCGTCTTTAGATCTTTGTGTATTGTATGGCCAATTTATTAAAGGATTGATGTACAACCATTTGCGGGTTTGCAGTTGTCTGACACGTATTTTAAATGTGAGACCTAACAAATTGGTTTCATTGGCTATTTGCAAAACGGCACTACTAAGATTTTGAATAAGTCTTTGTTGGAGGGGGTAATGTTGTAGAAATAATGTGATAGAAAGAGCAAGGACAGCGTTTTTCGTGAAAAGTGCAATTTGGAGCGAAGGAAAGCTACAAATGACGCCATGATTCTGTCACAGTGTTTTTCTGCAGGGAGTGTAAGTTGTGACTTGTATTCAATGCGTGGAAGAATGACCGTATTAAATATGTATATAAGTTGAGCGTCTGTCAATTTTTTTATTTTCATTATGGTGATTGCGGATTTAATTTCTTCATAGATTTGGTTGGTTATAAATGTTCTGTTGTCTGTCAGTGAAATCCAGACACCGAGATATCTGACACTTCCACTGGGGTTACACACGGAGATTTAATGAATGTCATTATGATTGGCGATGGCGAAGGACTCCAGCTGAGTCTTATTTACCAGGAGTTCTGATTTCGACCAATTAACCTGGATGTCATTATAGGAATAGAAACTGTTAGCAATTCTGATTATTGATGTTAGATCATCAGAAGACTTGGCAATCTATAGAGTATCGTCCATGAAAGCTAAAGCCAGAATCATTGTGGAGAGGCATTGTGTAGCAGGTAAACGAGCGTCAGGTTGCCAACAGCAATTCATTTTATAACCGTGAGGTGACTCTTGGACTCTACATAATAATGGGTCGTAGTAAATACATCACAAAAGGGGTGAAATGACTTCTCCTTGATCTATGCCAGAAATGACAACATAGGGTCGGTGTTGCTATGAGCAGTGAAGATTCTGTTGAGTCTAGGAATAAATAATTTCATGATGATGTTAATGTAGCCGAAAGGAATTCAAAGTCTTTCCATTGCTTTAACCAATGTAAAAACGTTGACTCGGTCATATACTTTGGACATATCTTGTAAAAGGACCCAAAGTTCAGATTTATTAGTGATGGCATTATGTTTTATGTTGTCTAATATATGTATGGGATCGAATGTAGATTTAAAGGGCAGTCCAGCAAAGTTTGATCCTTTTAGGATATTGTATTATACAAAAAGGGATGCAAGTCTGGTATTGAGTAGTTTTACAAAGGCTTTTCTTGGACATTCCAAAGCGTAATTGGTCGAGTGTTATTAAGGTCGAATTCCCAAGGTTTAGGTTTGGGAATCGGGTAGACATAGGCAAAGTTCCATCTCGTGGGAATTGAAGAAATTTGAAGGCAGCCACAAATAATTAACCAAAGGTATTTTCTACTGTATGGACCCAAATGCTTAAGCATTTCATTGGATATAGAAGAGGGGCCTGTAGCTTTGTCGTTGGGCAGACATTCTAAAATACTATACTATTCGTCAGCTGATGGGGATAAGATGAGCTGGTCGTATATCGCTGAATCAATATCAGCAATCGGTTGATATTTGGAAACCCATTCCTCTGGAATTACTTTATTACAGTGTGTTATTTCTGCGATTTATTGGAAATGTCTGTTGACTTCATTTTTCACTTCTATGTCATTAGTTAGTAACGGCTTATCATGTTTGGAATTATCGAGACATCTATCAAGGATAATGATTTTTCTTCTCCTATTCAATATAGAGTCGATCATTTTTGAAGGATCAGCATTGTAGTCATCAATACGAGCTTGGAGCGCTTCTTGGATACTTTTGGTTTTGAACTCCTGTTCTTTGAGTTTAGCTTTAACATAAAGACCTGCTAATAGTAATTTTATATCAGGAAAGACAGAGTTAATATGAGCTAAGAAATGGTTAATATCAACGGCTGTCACATGTAGATTTTTGAATTGGGCAATAGCAAGAAAATCTTTATATTTGAATGAC